AATTACTAATAGCGCATCGCCAAGGAAAAGATGTTAACCTCAATAAAATGAAGACGAGAATATCGTCTAAATATGGATTAGGAACATCGCCTAGACTTGTAGATATAATAGCTGCGGTACCGGCTGATGCTAAAAGTATACTATTACCCAAACTAAAAGCTAAACCGATCCGAACTGCGTCTGGGATTGCTGTCGTAGCTGTGATGTGTAAACCTCACCGATGTCCGCATATAAACTTTACGGGGAATATTTGTGTATACTGCCCCGGTGGCCCTGATTCAGATTTTGAATATTCCACTCAGAGTTATACAGGTTACGAGCCAACTTCTATGAGAGCAATAAGAGCTAGGTACAACCCTTATTTACAAACTCGGCACAGAGTGGAACAATTAAAGCAGTTAGGACACAGTGTTGATAAGGTTGAGTTTATTGTCATGGGAGGTACATTTATGAGTCTGCCAGAGGATTATAGAGACTATTTTATAAGGTAAGTATTTAAATAAATAAACTTTTCTTCTGTTTGTATTTTAATGTAATGTTTATATAAATTGTATCATATGTTCATTTTATAGGAATCTCCATGATGCTCTTTCTGGTCACACATCAAGTAATGTATCAGAAGCAGTTAAGTATTCAGAGAAGGCAAAGACCAAGTGCATTGGTATCACTATAGAGACCAGACCCGATTACTGTCTGCAGAGGCATATGAGTGATATGCTTAATTATGGATGCACAAGGTATGATTATACAACCATTCTATTAGACTTTTATTAATACTCTACTGCTTGACAACTAACCCACATGATAAGTGTTGATTTGAACAATGAAAATATACTCTACTAGCTTAAGTATAGTTAATAATGTGATCCAAGTGTTTTTCTTACCTTAAAGTGTTTCTCAAATTATGTAAATTAGCTTTAAAATGCAGCATGTATAGTTCAGTGGTGGGATATGTATAGTAACTTTAGATATTTACCTATTACATTATTGTTACTTCAATGTTCCAGGTTGGAAATTGGAGTACAGTCAGTATATGAAGACATTGCCCGAGATACCAACAGGGGGCATACTGTTAAAGCTGTTTGTGAAAACTTCAACTTGGCAAAAGATGCTGGTTACAAGGTATTGTTATGATTTGATCTAGTAGAAAATGTTTTAAACAACATAAAGGTGTCCCTGTGACTGTCCATGATATAAAAAATCCTAATAAGTAGCCTATGTGTTCTTCCAGACTATGTTCTACATCTATGCCAAATTTCATCAAGATCTGAGACCTTTGAACAAACACCCATATATCGAAACATTTTTATTATTTTTTTTTTATTTATATAAACAAGGAATAAAATACAAGTTTACAATAAAAGTGTCTATAAAACCATTGTGAGTTTGTCCAGACACTGGTACTACGCTATGAAATTAAACGGGAGGTAAGTTACATACTTTTTTTTGTTTACAGCAAATTAGTGAGCTCGCTCATACCATCATATACAGGGTGCACAAACATGTTATAAATTTATTAGACTAAGTTTAGTTTTAAAATATTAGATGTAAGATTGGTTATTGTGACCACAATATAGATATAATTTATTTATTTTAAAGACAATCAGTTATTATGAATGACTTTTGTCTATATTTCTTATTTTATTTTATTTCAGATTGTCGCCCATATGATGCCAGATCTACCTAACGTTGACTTTGAACGTGATGTTGAACAGTTTATAGAGTTTTTTGAGAATCCCGCATTCAGAGCTGATGGTTTGAAGATCTATCCAACTTTAGTTATACGAGGCACTGGTCTATATGAGTTGTGGAAGACTGGAAGATATAGAAGTTATCCACCATCAACATTGGTTGATTTGATTGCAAAGATTTTGGCTTTGGTGCCGCCATGGACTAGAGTGTACAGGTACTTATTTATTTCAAAACTGTACAAAACATTCTTAATAAGAAATACTTACTTAAGAAATAAGATTAAAACTACTAGCTGACGGCTGCAAATTGGTCTGCGCGGAATTAAAAAAAAAGAACTTAGTAGCCTATGTGGTCTTCCAGACTCTGTTCTACATCTATGCCAAATTTCAGCGAGATCTGTTTAACTGTTCCGAAGAAACCTTCTGAAATAAGAGAAAACCTTTAATGTATATGAGGTTTTAATAAGCTAAAATTAACAGTAGAATTCATTTTAGTAGCATTAGATACATTGACAAAGAGACTAACAAAACAGATTGACAATGACATTAGCTTATGGCTGATAGGTACAAGTAAGAAGTTTACATCACCTTCTAACATTCATCAATCCATACATCCAAACATTAGCATTTATAATATTAGTAAGCTTATGACATACATATTTCAGGGTACAGCGTGACATTCCAATGCCACTAGTGTCATCTGGTGTAGAACATGGCAACTTGCGTGAACTAGCACTCGCTCGTATGGCAGATCTGGGTACAGACTGCAGAGATGTACGCACCAGGGAAGTTGGCATACAGGAAATACATAATAAAGTGAGACCGTATGAGGTAAATATTGTGCAATTATTTTTATTTGCTGCATGAGTATACAGTTGAACCTGAACATATGACAGTCTGCGATATATTCTAGCTTATAGGGGTTTCTCTAACCCGAGTTTCCCATTTATGGAGGTTGTCCATTGGGACCAGCAAATAACTTACTAAGGTTTCTGATTAGATTTGTTTGCTCTATTATGTTGTTTATGTACATATATACAAGAACACAATACAGTTTAAGAATTTGAGTTAAATTTGGTGATTAAAGTTAGATGAATAAATCTGAATGTCACCGTTACTTATAATTATATTAAAGTGAACGATTTTGTACAAAAAGTAGAACTATACTTCAAATATTATAAAAATAAACAAAATCTTTAACATTTATACATAAAGTATTAGTAAAATGTTATTAAAAAGCCAAAATTTATATTAATCTTTTGCAACACTCTTCCAGGTAGAACTAATAAGACGTGATTACGTAGCCAACGGTGGCTGGGAGACGTTCCTGTCTTATGAGGACCCGGACCAGGATATACTGGTGGGTCTGCTGAGGCTCAGGAAGTGTGCAGCAGATACATATCGACCGGAGTTGAAGCCAGGACCTAATGCTAACTTCAAACAGTGCAGTATTGTGAGAGAATTGCACGTTTATGGCTCTGTTGTGCCGGTAAGTTATTTTTTCTTTTTTTCTCAGTGTGAAATATATTATGTAATGCGTTCTTAGCTTGTGGGTTTTTATGAAATTGTTGGGATGGATATATTATGCAATGGCAAACTTGTCCAAAAAAATGTAAAAAAAAATCATTTTCTATTCAACATTTTGCTTGTACTGGGCCATTATTTATGGGTCAAAATATATCTTTGTAATATATTTTTTTATTTATCCAGGTAAACGCTCGTGATCCAACAAAGTTCCAACATCAAGGTTTCGGTATGCTTTTAATGGAGGAGGCGGAACGTATAGCGCGCGAAGAGCACGGCTCTGACAAGATGGCCGTCATATCGGGAGTCGGCACGAGGAATTATTATGCCAAGATTGGTTACCATCTTGAAGGACCTTATATGGTCAAAATGCTAGTATAGAAATGTATTTGAATAAACATGTTTTATGGAAAAAACTATTTTATTTAATTCGGTTTAAAAAAAATTGTTGGTAAAGATTTTTTTATTTTTTTTTCTCTATTTTTCGTCAAATGTTTACCTAAAATGTTGCCTAAAGCGCGGCAAGTATTTTCTGCTTCAAATTCGTTCCACTACCATGTTATTTTTTAATTTTTCCAGACCCGATCCTCCTCTGTCCATTAATCCTACTGAAATCTACCACAAACACGTTGGTATGTTACCCAACTACGCGGGACACGTACCCGGCTGTATATTCAGGTATCGTATTATTTAACAATTGTTTTTTTTTTAGAATTTAGTCTGGAATTCTAAACAAATCTTGTAACAATAGTTTGAACGTAATCTGTGGATTATGGGTGTCGCCAATAAATCTAGGCCGGATCTAGAGGGGGCATCTACCACTAATGTGTTTTTCGAAGTAGTTTTTATTTATATCTAGATATTTTTCAATTCACTAAAGGAGGCTAAAGAACAACAGCTGCTCATCCTCCTGGTATTTAAGTTTCGTAGATAAGTTACTTCTAGTTCATTTATTTTTTGTAGTAATATATAGAACGTTTTTTTGGCGGCTGACCTTGAACTGCGCGCTGCTCAGTTCTGCGCAATATAACTAAAGTTAATTGATGATATTTATTGATATTATTTTACATAATAATAATATTTTCCTCAGATTCGGTAAAACATATGGAAACGACACGAGAGACGCGAAACGATGGTTGCGCGGTGATTTTAAACCGTGAAAATAATCGTTTTTTTTTTTAATATTTTTACCATATTTTACATTTTTACTAACTTTTTCTATATGATCTTTTTTATTTCGTACAATATTAATATTGAATTTTTGGAAACATTCATTCGGTTTTAAGTTTCGGACAATGAAATAACAAGGATCTGGTATTTTTTTTTGTCGTTAATTTTATGACAAATAAATGAAACTGATTTTTATAATAAAATTAATTATAAAAATCGGTATAATAAATGCTTTTTTAAAAACTTTTTGTTTTCTTTTCACACAAAATTTAGTAAAACTAAAAGGTAAGGTGTATAAATAAAATTTCAGTAACAAAATATATAAAAAAATGATATGTAAACACGGCTAAACACTCACGTATATTTGTCTCACTGTGAGCTGAGGGCCTTGTCCGCGAAATAATACCAGTACCACTCATCCTGATGAAGGGCCCCCGATGGGCTCGAAACTAGTCGGTGGCGCCACCGGACGTATATACCTCAGTGTTTAGCCGTGTTTTTATATCATTTTAGTATAACGTCTCACGAAAGTTTGAATAAACAAAATATATATTTGAAAATGGTTATAGCTTTATACAAAATAATACAATTTATATATTCTTTGTGTTCCTTTGATTATTTTAGATCTGCAATTATTTTGATGCGTTCCATGTCTTTAGCAGTTTTTCTGTTAAGGCAAGATTTTCATCTTTCTGTAAATAAAAATTAAATTATTATTTCTTCTACATTTTAATTCTATCATAAAAAATTAAACAAGTAAAAAAAATCCATAAATTTGAAATTTTTTTTAAATTTTAAGTGCACTTTTAAAAAAAAAAATATTTTTAAAAATGGAATACAGACTACTGTAACGTATGCCACAAGTATAATACATGCCTCTATCTCTGTGGAAATATATAGATTAAAAAAAAACAATATTTTGCCTCTTTGCTTATAGTATTTCTCATAACAAAACATGCAATATTACCTTAATAAAGCAGAATCTTGCGAAATCTTCTCCCAGATTCTTGTGAGCTTCAGAATAGAAAGCGCTGGGCGGTATGGCCAACACGCCCGCTTCTTTAGCAAACTTCTTTGTGAACCGATAATCTTTGTATTTATCCTGTTCACTAGATAAATCTATTTTTTTACCTGAAACATATAAAGTAATGATTAAATTACTATGATAAAGAAATATTTATTATCACGTCATCAAAGAAGAGAATGAGAAGGGAAATGAACATGTCACCCTTCATATTGATTTCTTAGTCTAGATCTTTTTTTCCACTAAGCGAATTATTGTCGCTATATAATATATTGACAGTGGGCGACTAATCGCTTAGTGGAAAAAGAGTGCATTACTCATGGGTAACTTGACCAAAAATGACTTGCAGATCAGTGAACTGACTCACAGCTCAGCTCAATTTGGACTTGCAAGAGTTATAATTTGCGTTATGAGCTACAAGTTGTGTTATGTAACATCGCGAAGAGCTGTAAGCTTGAGTCGCGACTCAACGGTTCGATTCTGTGTGATCTGAACTTTTGAACCGATTCAGACATCTGTATGTTACCTAGGTTAGTCCAATCAGCAACAATGAAGTATCCACCATCAGGTATGGTGGGATTGAAGCCATTCTCCTTGAGGGTCCTGACGAGGAAGTCCCTCTTGGGCAGCAGCTCGCGAGCCAGAGAGTAGAAATAGCATTCCGGAGAGTTGATTCGGGATAACTCTATTTCAAAAGAACGAGCGACCGCTTCCTGATAACAATATTGTAAAAATTATACTAGATATTAAACTAAACATTTAACTAATAATCAATATAAATTTAATTAATTGTACAAATTAAATGCAACTACAATAATTTCTAACAGTAAAATGAGTCTTCAGAAACACAGTCTGTGACATGAAAAAAAAATATATATAAAACTTTGTCTGTCTGTCTGTAAGGCCGCGTTTGTTCCGGGTAATCTCCGGAACGGCAGGACCAATTTTGACGAGACTGGTGAGAAGGTAGCCGATATACGCGAGGATGTTATAGACTACATTTTGACTAGCTATATTAATGAGATGAAAGTGTTTTTATACAAGTGTTACAACAATGGAAACTCAGTAGCAACTCACCTGAGTTGGTGTAGGGCAGGTATATACACAGTTTTGATGAACAACTTGCAAGTTTCTCATGAGGTTAGCGGGGCAGTAGGCCCAGCCGATCTTCCAGCCAGTGACAGAGAATGTCTTGCCCGCAGAACCAATGGTGATTGTTCTATCCCACATGTCCGGCAGTGTTGCTATAAAGACAGTTTTTAATCTAGATTCACAAATTTAAATCTAGATAGACTGAACATTTTATTCTAAATTATCTAATCATATGGTCATCGGAATTCATCATTTGGGCTATTATTGTAGACTGAAGCAAAAATACAGCTGTTTCCTGAATCTACTTATTTATATGATAAAAGAACAAATTAGATAGATATATGTAACTATGTATAATATTAATATTGTAAATGCAAATATTTGGAAGATGTTTGTAAGAATTTTTTAGAACGGCTGAACGGAACTTGTTGAAAATTGACACAGATCTAAACATAGCCTGGATGAACGCATAGGCAAATTTTTTTTAATTATGTATAGCATTTTAAAAACAAAAAACTTACCAATTCGAATATGCTTATTAGGTTCATACACCATCCATTCATAAACCTCGTCAGATACACACAAAACATTGTGTTTCTTGCACAGATTTGCAATCAGTTCCAATTCCTCCTTTGTAAATACTTTGCCCAACGGATTATGTGGAGTATTCAGTATTAACATCTTAGTTTTATTCGTGAATAGGGAACTCAGTTCTTTTTCATCAAGTACCCAGTCCGCTGATGTCATATTTTCCTTGCCCGTCTTCTGTAAGCCATAATTTATAATTCATATCGGTATAACAATCGTTTAAATTAAATTGGTAGACAAAATGGAAAAATTCAGACCAAGTTTTGGCCCATAAATGGATGTAGTGCTAGATAAAAGCCTATGTTTGGATGTATGGATAGTTTTTTTTTATATCATAAGGTGGCAAACGAGCGAGCGGCCACCTGAAATCGCTGAAATAGCGAAGTGACCGTTGGATGTTCTAGCGAAGGTTGCATCCATCTATATAAATTTGGTTTAGATGTAGAACACAGTCCGGAAGAATACATAGGCTACCTCCCGGAAATATGTACGCAAAATATGTATGTAGAGGTATATGATATGTTTTATACAATTGTTGAAAACAAAAAAACCACAATAAATCCCATTCCCAAGGGCGTTTTTTAACGCGCGTTAAAAAACACGTTCAAATACAAAAAAAATGCATTTCCATGCTTATCTGTTACGGTTTTTAAAACGCGACGCTTTTTTATCGCGCACCGTTGCTTTTTGATCGCTGGGCCAACGGAACAAGAGTTATTTTAAAACGTTCATCGCTCGAGAGCCGCAGACGCAGTATTAACGCGGCGTCAAAAAAGCGTCCGTACACATGAGCATTAAGAAATAAAAGTTTTTATCGATAAGATAAAGCGACATTTTCATCTTTATGTTAAGTGTTGAGTTATTTTAATGTTTTAGATAAATATAATAAAACATTGAAATGTAAAGAGTTATATACAACTGTTATCAGCACTAACAATATTATGTAATCAAGAAACATAAGTCTTGAATATGTTCAAGATTATAACAATTGCTTGCGATATATTCATAAAAATATGTATAACTAACTTTTGCCTGCGATTCCATCTGTGCGGATTAAAAAATATATATATTTAGTAGCCAGTGTTCTTCTTGACTTTGTTCTATATGTAGGCTTTTTTGGAGATATCTTCTAACATTCAATCTTTCACATTTATAATACAGAGATCTTGTCTATTTTCTTTTTTATAATATAAATATTTTAAATTACCAATCTTACTAATATTATAAATGCGAATATTTAGATGGATGGATGTTGAAAGGTATCTCCGGTACAGATCAACTGATTTTCATAACATTTGGCACAGATGAACATAATCTGGATTCTATTTTTTTCAATTCTTCGCGGATGGAGTCGCAGGCGAGAGTTAGTACATTATAAAATGTAAAAGCATAAGATAATTTCCATACTAGTAGTGGATTTAATTAATAAATTTTGTTTCTATTGGAAACATATGTTTTTTTTTAGATGAGGCCTTCAAAAAATTAAAAAAAAACTTACCGGTTTAAGTGCAATGAATTTTGGTATTCCTCCCGCACATTTTATCATGAAGTCATAGCAATCAAAGAATGGTTCTATCACAATCACTTCATCACCGTCATCCACATGACCTGGAATAACATTAAAAGACTATTATAACTTAAAATCAACCTGTATTTTTACCCCAGATTTTGTCAAAATATTTGTAACATTTCACATTTGTAACCTATTAAATATATGTATGTTTTATATTACCAGACTTGTTTCATAATGTTTAAATAAACTGCTGGATACCTAACAAATAAATTAACTTGTACATAATACTTTCTGACAAAATAGCTTACTATTTTTTTTAAGATAACGGAGCAGACTAGCAGCGAGAACACAAAAGTGTTCATCAGTACGAAAAGTCCCAGATGCAATCGCGGATGTGTTGCCTGAATTTGAGATGATTTTACATCTCATTTAGAGATTAGAACAACTACTTTATTCGACTACTACCGTCCAAGTAGCTTAATCCAGACTAGGACATTATAAAACAAGCTCTTATTGTGTATTCAAAATTTAAATACTACTTTACCTAATATAGCTGAATAAAGGGCCTCATAAGCACCACTGGTTACAAGAATCTCATTAAATGGATCTAATTCCCTACCAATTAATGGTGAATACACTTTGGCTATGTTTTGAACCAATCTGGGATGTCCCTGAAAAATTATGAGTATAAAATAAATTAGGATGATAAATATAGGAGGAAGTTGAAAATTAAAACAATTTTAAATGTCCATTAACCTCAATAGTAATTTATAGTTTACCTAATTAAACTTTACTTAGCTGCTTATTATGTCTTATTTATATTTTTTACACATAAGAACAAAAATGTAATATTATGACAAAACCTCAAAAACAAAACTCATTGTAAATATTTTTATTTATAGCACCCTTAAATATTACTACTATTTTGATAATATTATATAAAAAATAAGTACATTTGCAATGACTGAAAAAGGCCATAAGCCCTTGTGTTATGGAAAATTGTAACATCTGTATACAGTTAATTGCAAATAACCGTAACATCCTGTGTACAGTTATTTATATAGATATTTATACAGACATAGTTATAGATGTATAAAAAAACATTTATTTGCAAATAACTGTATACAGGATGTTACAGTTATTTGCAAATAAATGTTTTTTTTATACATCTATCAGACTATTATATCTACTATATAAAGTTCTACTCACAAAACCTCTTGTGTATTGCATGAGTAGGGGATTGTCACTTGTGGCAATATCTGCCAAGGCTTTAGTGACATGTTTGGGCGCATGGTAATCCGGAAACCCTTGTCCAAGGTTCACTGCTGGCTTGTAATCTGCAGCAAGCTGAATATATTCCACCCTGTAGATTTATTATGTATATTAATAAATCTATTTAACACATTCACTGCTGACAATTTGCCTTAAGTTTCATTAACTAATATGTGAAATTTATAGTGTGTTTAAATGTGTTAATATTTTGTCATTTAGTTTCAAATAGATTCTATTTAACTCAATATTTTTTCCAGCTATTCCTCTTGAGCTAGAGATTTGTAAATTAGTTTTATTTATATGTACAAATAGTACTTTGTTACAAGATAAGAAATTGTGCCCTGGCCTTAATTGACCTTAGATTATAGGGTAGAGTATGGTAGAAGATAAAACTGATAGCCAACGGACATATAGTCATCCGGCTCATTCTCTTTGAAAAAGTAGAGATAAACATATGTTACTATTACGATTTATGTTTTTATAATTTTGCATAGTATGTTATGTAACTGTCACTATTTGGCTTTGTACATAAACATTGAGATAAAAATTAACTCAAGTACTGGTTATTTAAATAATAAAAGATATTACATTTACACTTTACTTACCAAACACTTTTTTCACCGGCTCCGTAGCGGGCTGGTAGACGAAATTTATCAGTCATAACTACTGCAGAAGTATTCAATTTATTTCTTAAAATAATATTTGTTATTGCCACAGTACTGTCGGTCTTGCTCTTAACAGCTGCGTTTAGTAAATGTCTTGACCTAAACATTATAAGGCGTTAAGAAAAACACGACGCTAGAGCAAAATGTAATACTTATCTGAATGTAAATATAACCTAATATGACAACATGACGCAGCAAATTTATTTATATTCGCATTTGTTAATCAAGTTTTTATTAAGTAGTATATTTCGTAGTATTACTAATTAGTATTTGAATATATTTGCAAAGCCGGTTATGACGTTTCACTGTAGATATTTGAATATTGTAAATGTCATTTTGACATGTTGATAATGGATTGTCAACAAAATGGCACATAAGAATTGACAGAACTTTGTAGATTTTGCCCATGTTTGTCTTAAATAACATTTTATTCAAATTATTGTAAATACATTTTGGATTAAGTATACTTATACTTAATTATAAATTTGATCTTTGTACCGCTTAATAGAGAAACTAACTTATTCTGAACACATTATTTACTTTTCTAAATACACCATAATTTATTATAAAAAATTGTTAAAAATAAAAAAAAAATCCCATTTTGCACGTTTAGTTTGTTCCTGAAATTTGGGAAAAATAAAAATTCTGGTAGCATTATCGCAACTTGACCAATTAATAGGATAGGAATGCCAATCACAAAAACTACACACTCATGCCTGTAACCCCGGAGGTGTAGGAAGACAGACATTTCGCCACATCCATATTGCAATCAAAGCAGGAGTTCATTTTTGAAAGGTTTTTTAACTGAAGTACTCTACTAGAGAAAAATATTGGACACGCCTAGCTGATAATCTTATAATGATCGCTCAAAAGGAGCTAACATTATGCTACACAATGTTACAGAAATAATTAGTTTAGTGCAATATAACAGTATAGTTAATTTACATTATTTTGCTGCAGTGTTTCTCTCAACTCCCCTTATTAATTTGGGTAAGTGCCAAAGGCTTGTACCAAACAGATATTGGGCGGCAATCGCTTTGTAAATTAATGTGTTTCGAACAAAAACATCTGAATAACAAAAATGTTGCGCGTTTGTCGGGAAATGGTCTTTGTAATAATACTAATGGCACATCTCATAATGATACGAATAGTACACTGAGGCGATAAATCATCAATAGGAATAAGATATTATATGAATAATTCAATATGCAATTATTATGTTCTATTCCAAAGCTGTTCAATCTGTATCTCTTCATGTTACGTTCACAACACATACGAGAGCTTACAATTACGAGGGAGATTGTTTTAGTCACCACACATCAGTGTAGGTCATAGATTAAGAATCTATGCTCCGTGGTGTAGATACTAGGTATTAAAACAACCTACAATATTTATTCTTCTACTAGCTGGCGACTCTGTCCGCGCCAAATTAAAAAATCTTAATTAGTGATCTGTGTGATTTTAAAATATATGTTTTATATTTATGATAAATTTCGGTGAGATCCGTTTAGCCGTAGTAACAAACAACAAACATCCATCTCCATCCATCTACCTAAACTTTCGCTTATATATTAGTAAGATGTATTGAGGGAGACGAAAGTATTTTTTAAAATATCTTCATGTTGGTATTCTTCAATAAATGTTGAGTTATTTATACATTGTGGAGGCGTTCAAGGAAGTTGAACAACATTTAATTTTCAAGTTAATATTATAAGGAGAAGCGAACTTCCTTGTCGTTTATTTACAAACAAGAGCGCTATTCCTGCTTATTGAGTTACGTTAAACATTTATAACGCTTTACTTTGGTCTCCAGGGAAAGATATTGTATTTCTGTGTTCGTGTTTTCGTTGTTTCGTAATAAAAACACAGGTTTTTGGGAATAATAGCGTTATTACGGCATATTAAACGACAAATTCTAACCGTGTTTGCCATGACATTTTGTATGTCTCTAATTTTTCCAAGAGAATATAAACATGTAAAAATATATTTATAAAACAGTTTTGACAATGGAAACCCACACTAAAAATGGGTAGGAACTTTTAAATTTAATAGTACTTTTTACGACAGATTAAAAAAGTTAATTTTAAAATTGAAAGAAACTTAGCTACAGGGATAAAAGACTTTCGTCTCGTCACGTATTTCATTTATTTTGTATATTTTTCAGACGTCCAGGACAATGGTCTGAATATTTTATACTTCATTTAAGAGAGTTACGTTGAAATGCAAGAAAGTTGCATTTACATTACTCGGTTACGAACACAGCTTGTGTATCTTTTTTAAAGTCATATTTTTTTTAATATCTTGAGAGAATGAAATCTTACTTGTATAATATTATAAATGCGAATGTTTAGATGGATGGATGGATGGATCGATGGATGGATGAATGTTTGTTTGAAGGTATCTCCGGAACCGCTCAACGGATCTTAATGAAATTTGGCACAGATGCAGAACATTGTCTGGAAGAACACATAGGCTAAATTTCTTTAATACCCTCTCATATTTTTTTAATATCGGGCGGACGGAGTCGCGGGCCACAGCTAATATGCTATATATTTTTATGAAAAGACCGCTAATGTCTTTGAAAATTAAACAGTACAATGGAAACACGATAACATTAATTACTAGTGATTAAGTATTTATAAGATAAATTGTCTCGTAATTTTGCGTGAGTCGGTACGCGCCTACGCTACATCCCCTTGGCATTTCCCATGGCTCTTAGTGTCAGCTATAATCAATACTATAGTTAGGACAATATTTACTCTTATTAGTCTATTCAGTGTCCGGTATAGAATCACGTATTCAGGATTAAGTGGGGGCGTATTGATACTGCAAACAGGATTAAATGTATCTGTTCTTGATATAGAAACAGATTTGTTGGATATGTTAAATATTTGGCTATGTCACTGTGAATTTTAAGCGTCAATAGCCTAATGGTTAAGGGTACGGAGTTCCGACCACGAGGTCGGGGGTTCGAATCCCACCATTCGACTATTGTCGTAAACTATGACCTAGCACAAGCCTGGAGTTTAGTTGGAATGGTTAAAGAAATATTAGTAAATTTACAAAAAACTTTGCTAATATTTTTAATAAAAAAAAATTGTTAACTTACGAGGATTTGTTTCAAGGGATGTTCAATTTTTATACGAGTTTTGTCAGCCAGGGTTGAGTTGTTCTTCATAATTCTTTTTGTGAGTTACGAAGAATAATATTATGCGATTAATTACAAGGTTTTCATTTCATAAAGGGCAAAGTATCGAGTTTGCTTACATAATAAGAATCTTATTATTACGCGATCTTTTCGAAAGTAATTTTCCGACCCTTGTCCGAACGAGAATGAAAATAATTTATGAAGATTTGCTGACATATATTAATAAAATTGCAGTGTCTGTATGTAATATCACTAAAATATTATAAAAATAATATTTCGTATACAAGAATCTGTGTAGGTAATAACGAAAATCCAATTATAAAAATTTCAGTTTGGAACGTTTGGGCCGATTTTGACAGGACATGGACAGGAAGGTAGCTGATGAACGCAGCTATGTTAATGGCAATTTTTTTTATTCAGCGCTGACGAAGTCACGGGCGATTGCTAGTGTTTTATATTTTTGTGCACTTTATCTGTTATGCTTGTGTACAGATAAGATCTTAAGAGAAGAATCTTGTTAGCTATAAGATTTGTTTACATTTTGAACATCTGAGCTTCCAATAAAAGTATTGTTACCTGTATTTTGTTATTACGTGATACAAATTTTGTATTTTGTTTTACGTAATAACAATGGTACGTTCGTTCGTATATTGGTACGAATGTATTGCACTGACAATGTCCGTTGCAGGGAATTACAGCTGGTGATACACCCAGATTATTATGAATAAAGATTACAAAATCTACAGAATAATCTGAGTAGGCATAATACACAAAAAGAGACTAAACTGTCGAAGAAAAAGGATGTTAAAACGCGCAGACGAAATCCCTTTAATCTTAATTAATTTGGTTAGAAACATCAGCGTCAGTCATTCCACCTTACGTAAATGTATAGGATAATTTCCTTCGTTTTTGTCTGAATGAGAAATTGAATGTTATTATTCTAATATTCTTTGTTATTCGTTGTTTTATTAATCACAGTGTATCTCGGTCCTTACTTTGTAATACGCAGCACTGTCCGCGACGTTCAATAAAACGATTACATAATTCACAATGACAATGCAATACCAACATTAATTATCTACATTCGACAAATTGTTATGTTGGTCTGTATTTATCGTATTTATTAGGGATACCAATTTAACACAAAGAAAGAACTTAAGTGTCACAAAAGGTGGAACTGAGAGTTTACCGTGTAAAATTATTTGACGCACTAATTTAAAAGTTAAGTAAAGGTGGGAGTCACAGTCGAAGAATACTTTTTTAAATAAACATAGTCTTCTTTAACTCTTATATTTCTTTGATCGTAAACAACAACTTTTTCAAAAACACCGCTCTTACATTTTCCTCACGATTACTCGAATGTCAAAAAAGATGGCCGTCATTCAAACGAGCAATTACAATACTTTTAATTTAGGATAACGAAGTACTGTCATATTATAAACATGATAAGTTGAATACTTCTATTTTATATTTGAGAATCAAATATTTAAATAATCTGTTGGATCGTATTTCAAATGATTAATGTTGTTATTTTAAATAAACAAAACTGTCATTGACTTATGGCATAGACTAAATAACGTTTTAGGTTATGGATTTACAGAATATATAAAATGGCTAACACAAATTAGATATTATTCCTACTTATATTCTTTGGTGTTGTTATAAAAACTTATAGTAATTATTTTTCCATTCTGCCCTAATAGATGCGAACAAAGGAGCAAATCATGGCTTATGTCTACTTTTCATTTACACGGAGCGGCTTAAGAGGGCATTACTTCCCAGTTTTATTTCCCAGGAGAGAGCTGCGCGCTATATGTAATCCTAAATTACGTCCCAGGGAATTTCTTATTAAATTTCTTTAAGATGTTTTGGCAAAGCATTCGAAATGAGAGAAAACAATTTGAGAAAAGACTATACTTGATGTTAATTCTTGATTCAAAATTGTTTTAAAATGGCGTTGAAATTATCAATCAAAATATTAAATTACTTGTAAGAATAATGTTTTATATTTTTAAACTTTATTAATTAGAATTTTTCGGCGTGATTTTTTTGCTTTCGTTACAAAGTGCAGTGTCACAATGAATAGTAAGGGGACATACACGTCGACATTTTGTAAGGCTAGTGTTACGTCAATACACTGG